ATATATTAAGTTAAGATAGTTATTTCGTCACTTTGATTAAATGTTTCCTCGGGGCATATACTAGAAAATGATCTCGTCAAAAACGAAATAAGTTTCATGAGTAACCATATTTTACAGTGTTGTCAAATTACTATTTTTAAGACACTTTGTTGAATATGGGTACTCTCAAATAGATAGGGCAATATAGATATGGAATAGACATTTAGAAAAAGACTATGATCAACACTACCGAAATATTGCAAAATTTACAGATTTCCTCGCTCTATAGAGCACCAAAAGACTTTTTTCAATCTTTAATGAAGATTTGGTTTGCATATTGGTAGTAATATACAATAAAATGTGGTTTTATTATGTGTGATTTGGAAAATGAGGTAAAATTAAGTAGTTTTATCCTGATACCTTACACGGTAAGAAATTCCGTATCAAATTACAATACCGACATTTCGGAAGTTCGGTACTTTTCACTGAAAAATTTATTTCTTCCGCAACATGCTATGGAGCAAAAAATCTGATATACCATACCAATTTCCGTAAAATCAAAGGAATCATGCTGATTAAAAAAAGCAATTAATGTGATTATCTAGTAATACCTTCAATGAGTAAAAGTGTGATCAAAGCTACAAGAATATGGTAAAATTTACCTTGATGCTGGCTTTATAAGAGCATCAAAAAGCTCGTTTCATTTTTGTAGACGAACTAAGGTAATAATTTTGGTAAAATTTATAATAAAATATGGTTTTGTATCATAATTTAAAATTTGGTAACTTAGGTAAAATTTGGAAACTCTAACATGAAATCATGCACTGTTAGAAATTTCTAGAGAAAAATGGCTAAATAACAATTTATTTAATTTTTTCCCACTACAAAACAGTCAATTAGCAATAAATGAGATGGTAATCCAACTGTTAACTGTATGAAAACCGTTTATCAACTGTTTTCATTTCATACGGTTAAACAACCAGAATTTTATCGCACCAATTAAGACCAATTAATTAAGCCATTTAGTTTCCTGCAACTACGTACATGTTATAGTCAAGAGGACTGATCTGTCAGCCTCATGACTGACAGAACTGGGGTTCGAGCCTCAGCGTTGACGCCACAATAATTTCGCCTTTCTCTTCAACACATGAAGAGTTTCCAGTGTTCAGCACTCCTCAATTTATTTCCTGCACTCTCCAATGCACATTACCTAACGAAAAGCCTGGCTTTTATATACTTTTAAATTCCTGTATTAAGATTTTAAATCCATGCTAGTTTTAAATGGTTAACAAACCGTATAGTTTCGTATTTATGGTTTTATAACCTTACTAGTTGTTAACGGTTTTAAAACCATAAAGGTAAAAAAAAAATTACAGTAAACTTTATGGCTAATTGGAAAGACAGATAGATTTTTACATAATGTTCAACAAAAAAAAAATTCTAACAGTGTAAAGCATGGTATAAAAATCATTTATTCGGTTAAATTTACTTTTCTGTTTTATATTTTTACTGCAGGTTAAAAGAACTATAATTTTAACTACCAGAATTTCTGGTAAACTGTTATCAAATGAGTGAAACAATTACCAAGTGAATTGTTAAAATACTGTATATTTTGTTTTGTTAAAAAAAAATACAGAAATTTTACCAGAAATTTTATTTTCATACTGTATATGAATTTTACAAGAATTGTTCTTTTCGTGTGGCTAATAAATAGATATCTTCTGTTAATTTATAAATGTTTTAAAAATATATTTGCTGTATGAGATACAATATTTATTACTTAATTAAAATCATTCATATTTAAAGTATTGGATTTAAGGCTATCTGTTTCAATGTGTTTTCTGTCTAATAAATATATCTTCGCTATTAGGTAATTGTTACAGAAACTTCTTATTGAAGGTAATTTAAAAAAATATGTTTTGAGGTTTTGCATAATGTTTATCTCAAATGAAAAGTTATTTATGGAGTGCAAGACTAAACTATATATGTGTACGAAAATAAAGTTAATGTTCTAATATAGACAGTCTGGCTTTATCAAAATTCAGCTTTTAAATTAAATTTATTGTATCACGCCTGGAAGGCTGTTTCATTTATTTTAGAAACCATTTTGTAGAGGAGGTTAGGAAGATAGATATCGGGTTTACTGGAACAAGATTTATAATTGTATATTTCTGACTAGACATAGTTAATATAGAAATTTAATTTCTCTGTGGGTATTGTTAAATAGTTAAAACGCTATCTTTTGACACACTGTTTGAAAATGTTATCAAATATTCATTATAAATTAATTATTTAATCATCACTTCTTCCACAGGTACCTTTCTTTAAAATTATACTTGGAGTTTAAACGCATTATAAATAAACGTATATATTTTCTCGAAATAAATAGTGTTAATACAATACAAAAATAACTTTCGTTGCTTATAGAAAAATAGTTAAAACAATAACAACTGTGCTCGATAATCAGAAATACATTTCAATGGGCCGTAAAATATTTTAGGATTAATTGAAATAGGAATTGAAAGTATGTACAGAAAAATAAAGACAATGGTAAGTTTAAGAATAGCAGTTTGACTCTGGTTTTTCATTCCTAAAAGTATAATAATAATGCATCAGAGATAAATTCATTCATTTCCTTCAGAAATCAATTTCAGGAGGCTATTTGAAAGGTAGATATTATATTTAGTAAATCGTTATAGCTAAAAATATTTTTCCTATCACCAAATAAATTAATTTTATTTTAGTTTAGATGCGACTAATGCCCAATTATTATAATTCTTATTTATAAACTTTTCTAAAAGCTAAGGATAATTCTTTTTTATATATCATTACTTTCTCCATTTATTTGAACTAAACCTAGAAAAAAACACTTGTCTTTATAAATAGTATTTCACATTGAATAGTAATGTATTTTTAACTATTAAAGCACATAAAAAGAAATATTAATGCTTTGTAGATGGTTAATGTTTATAGATGGTTAATGTTTTCATTGAAGATAAAGTGATTCACTAATAGTTACTGCAATTAATGTTTCATTGTTTTTAACTAATTATAACTTACCTATTTACCACAAATAGCAACATTTAATAATTCGAAATAACCATTTTTATATTTTCGTATTTTAAAATTAAAATTAATGATTATTTTTGCACATTCTGGAAATAGGCCAAAAAGAACAGACATTAGGATAAAGAGAACAACTACCACAAAGCATTTATTACATAATTACATTTGGCCGTCGTTTAGATCTTCGGTGTGATAGTTTGATGGTATTAATGTAAGCTAGATTAATACTGGTACAATGTGATCCACTATCTCTTTGTACAAGGATTATAAACTGTAACTATTTTAATGGCAGGGGATGATTAGCATTTGAACATACTCTCATTAGTATGTCAATATTTGAAATTTAACGCCGACTTTAAGTGACATAAAGTTAGGATGATAGATATTATGTCGTGTAAGCCTAATGTTCGACAAAGCTTATCGAATCTCAAATGAATTGAGCAATAATTAAAGAAAATATAAATTATTTACTTAAGAAAATTAGATTTTTGTATTACCGCCGCGTAAAAATTTGTGTGGTATAGATCCTATCAGGGAGTTTTTTTATTTATATAAGATGTAAGATGCCAAGGCAGAAATGATTGTTTAAAAGCATGAACTATAATACTTAAGGAGGATTGACTTTCACATCATCACGATGCTTTTATTCACGATGCCCTGCACCTCTTAGCAACACTTTAACGGTTAGATGATACACTGTTACAAATTTTATGGAAAAAAATGGTTAGTAACAATTAATTTAATTGTTATTTTACTTTATTCAAACAAAACAGTCAAATAGGCATAAATAAGATAGTTCTCAAACTGTCAACTGCGCAAAACTATTACGGTTAAACAACCTGAATTTTATCGCAGCAACTAGCTCCATCTAATGAAGCCAATTAGATGTTTGAGAGCCGCGATGGCTCAGGGAATAGAGCGTTCGCCTTCCAAAGAGGTGAACCGTGGTTCGATCCCGGCGATGGCTGGTAGATACGAATTTCGCATCCGGCTTGCACCGACCACAGTGCTGACGTGAAGAATCCTCAGTGGTAGACGGATCATGAGTTAGAGTCTCCTTGCCATCAGGCTAACAGTGGGAGGTTCTCGTGGTCTTCCTCTCCATGTAACGCAAATTCGGATTAGCTCCATCAAAAAGTCCTCCACGAAGGCAAATTTATCCCAATACTCTATCCAGGAGTTGCCTTGTCTTCTGGATTGGGTTCGAAAATACAAGGCAACGAAGTTGAACATTAGTAGTCGTAATCCCAAAAATCGGGTCGGCTGTTCAACGACGGTTGTAAC